TTTGTCGGCCTCTGGCTCAGGGAGGCCCGACAAACTGGTGCTCCGTGTGAGGCCGTCACTCGGAAGTATCGCTGATGGGCCAATCGGTCTTCGGGTGAGTGTACCCCCATAAAATATGGGGCAGTCTTCTTCCTCTAAACCCAATCCAGCTTTACTCGCTGGATTAAAGAGCTATACAGTTTATTCTTTTCTTTTCGTGTGCTTCTTAAAAGCCGGGGGCTTGCCACTTAAGGTAGCCCCCTGGCTTCCGGAGAGTCCCTTGTTCGACTGGGATACATGGGACCGCGTAGAACAACTAGTTCGTAAGGCCTAGGTGAACCGGGGGGAAATCCCCCCTCTTGGGGTCTTTCCCACCGTTTCAGCCTTAAAAGTGTGCTTTCCACCCCGGCCTCACAAGCCTGGCGCTAGGGGAGCTCCACCATATTCACTGATCTGTTTGTGGCAGCAATTGAGCTCATACCCAGCTGCCCACTAACTGGACAGGCCTATTGGCCCTGGCGGTCTTACTACCTGATATTGATATAGTTCCCAACAACCAAACTCTCCCACTCCCTGCTTTTGACCACTTTGGGGGTAAACAAAAGCGAGGCCATCCAAGTACTCCCCCTCCTCATCGGGCTGGGAGTAGCCACCGGAGTGGCCACTGGAACCGCTGGTATAGGATTTTCCTCTCATTATTATAACAAATTACAATTAATCAGTGATATGCAAACAATCGCCAATACTATTTTAGATCTTCAGTCCCAGTTAGACTCCTTAGCAGGGGTAGTACTGCAAAATAGAAGAGGGTTAGACCTACTAACTGCCGAAAAAGGAGGCTTGTGCTTGTTTTTACAGGAAGAATGCTGCTTCTACGCAAATCGCTCGGGCATCGTCCAAGACAAAATCAAGAAACTTCAAGAAGACTTGGAAAAAAGACGACAAGATCTCCAAAATAGCTTCTTTGGGACGGGCTTCAATGGGCTTCCTCCCCTATCTCTTACCCTTCCTCGGTCCCCTCCTTTTACTTCTAATGGTAGTCACTCTGGGACCCTGTATTCTTAACAAACTTATTCAGTTTGTACAAAAGAGGCTTGAAACCATTCAACTTATGAATGTACAAGTTCATTATCAGCGCTTGGCCCCTCAAGATCCCCAAAGTTACGACTAAGTCTCCCCATCAGGCTGTGTGAGCTCCCAAAGACGGGTAAGACCCTGGCAAATCCAGGGCAACCTAAGACAGGGGCCACACCCAAAAAATTATCACAAGCTGTGTGATGCTCAATGACGGGTAAGATCCAGACAAACCTGGACAACCTAAGACAGAGGTCACACCCCGGCATACAAAAACAAAAGGGGGAGATGTTGGGCATAACTTTGCACGCATGCGCCCTGACGCGCACGGGCGCCATTTCATGCGCTCCGCGGCCACCATTTCACTAGTGCTCAACGGCACGTAGCTGCCTGCCTCGCCCTTCCGGGTCCCAGTGATTCAGCAACTTTAGTTCCGTATTCGCGTAAAGCCTCCCCACCACCTCACCCTATCCTTTTAAGCCCTTCTTATTGGCTCTTTGCTTGATCTCTCATATCAAAACCCGCCCTGCCCTTTTTCCCTATATAAGCTGTGCCGCCCTGCAAATAAACGGAGTTCCGGCTTTGACCACTCTCCTGGCTCGGTGGTGTTCTTTCTCGGCCCCCGGGGAGGAAGGTCCTGGGGGGGAAGGGCCGTGCCAGCGACACTCATCATCCCGCTCAGCCCCACAAGGGACCCCCGGCTGGACGGGGGTCTCTTCCCGCTCGGTTTTGTCGGCCTCTGGCTCAGGGAGGCCCGACAAACCAATGATGTGATAAACTGATGACCTGGAGAGACAGCTCAGAGGCTCGGCCTGGAGATGGTGCAGGAGCTTCTGAACCACCTGGGGTCCAGCACTGAGACCCCAACAAGCCCCTGAACATAGGTTCCTGAATCAACTGTTCACACTCTGCCCACATTGTGATAGGCAGTTCCCCTGGAAATCGCCTCAGTAGTCTTGAAAATCAACATAAACACACACACACACACACAATCACACACTCACTGTAATACAATCCAACTATGCCATGTAAAACTGACAATAAATCAATCAAAATATACAGAAAAAGAAGCCTGCTCTTTTGCTTTTATCCTTGACCCACTTCAGTCTAGTTCGAAAAGTAAACCAGATAAATTGAATTAAAATATCTCGTGTTGATGATTCTCCACATCAGTGATTTTCAAAGTGTGGTCATTGGTTCAGTAACCAGTTCTGAAAACTCATTCTATATTTACTGAATCAGAAATTCTGAGAGAAGAGCTCAGCAAGCTGCACGTTTATAATCCCTCCAGGTGACTGTAATGCACCTAAATTTTGACAGCCTGTGCTCTACACAAAATCTTGAAATGGGTTACTCAGAGTTAAAGCCAAAGTCCTTGCAGTGGTCTAGGATGTGAAGGTCTTTTCTCTTCCCGTACCTTTTTCCTGCTTGTTAACCTTTTAGATATATTTCTATCTTGGCTGTTCCTTAAACAAACCAGATTTTATAACATCAATTTATGTTGTACTTTTTCTTTCTTTTGCCTATTGTGTTCTTCCAGTGATCCAAAAACCTTACTTGATAGACTCCCTGTTCACTTGAATACCACTCTTCCTTTTGGTACCTTTTTACCCCTTGCCTAAAATAACATATACCCTCCCACTGAGAAACTCTATCCTTAGTCCTTGTTGAAGTTTCTTCTTAATACCCATCACTACCTACTATAT